TGGTTCAATCGATTTTTCTAGCTTAAAAAATTTGCTTAAAAATAGCTAGCTTAAAAAAATTTAAAAAAAACAGTCCATCAGGGTTCAAATCCTGATGCTCGCATTTATTTCTGAATTTATTTTGAAATTTTTGGCGATGCGCATTCAGTGGGAGGTGACGTTCCCGTCGACAACGAGGTGGCTACGGTGACTTCGTAAATTTCAAGATGATATGCCGGCTCAGTCTTTTGGAGGTGCTCATAGAGGTAGGATGTGCGTGTGTGCGTTCATGGGAGTGAGTGTATGCGCGTGTATATAAGCGCTTGTGTCTGTATTGATGTTAAAAAAATAAAAATAAAAAAGCTAGCTTTGCTTGCTGTTGCACCCTCCCTAATCACGTCATGATCGCAGGGGCCTTGCACATACATAAATTAGCCTAATCATGCGCACTAAATTAACTTAGGAGGCAACAAACGAAGTGTCAGCGGTGGGCCTACCGCGGGCCGCACAACGGATATGCACTAGTTTCCCAGGCTGCGCGCGGGACGTCGCCCCCATGCACCGTAACCAGCGGGGGATCCCCTCCTTCTACCTCCAATCATTTGTCTTTGTCCCGAGCAGCAGCAGCAGCACGCCCGTACTCCCTCTGCAGATTCTCCCTCGCCGCGGATACGGACGAACACGGCCGGGGAGATGTTGGTGTAATTTCTCGGTGGTGCGCGCCGGTCGACGTCAAGGTCGGGAGGGGCGGCCGGCGCCACTAGCTGCGCTGCGCGGCCTGATCGGGAGGGGAATAATAATAGAATAGTCGGGCCCGACACTGAGGGGCTGTGCTGTGGACCTGTGGTGGTAGTATGTAGTCTCCGCCCGTACAGAAAAGGATTCTCCGTATCATTCTTCCCTTCCCTGCGGTTTTTTGCTGCTGCTGGTAGTCTATCTCTCGGAATGTTCGGCAACATCAGACGCGAGAGCGCATGTGTCTGTACTGATGCTAAAAAAAAAACACCGAAGCCAATGATTGGTAGCACGTGTATTGGATCTTTATATTGTTATTACGGGGGCGTCTGTTTTTAATCTACTTTTTATTTTATTTTATAGTGTGCTATGTTGCTCCTTTTGTGGCAGCGGAAACATCGGGGGCAACATTTCAGCAAAAAGCGGCGCCAAGGCATGCAAGTCCTGGAGGCCTGGATCGACAGACATGTGTCGCCCATGCATGCTGCACACTTGTGCTGTACACTTTCTCTATTTGCCTAGGCATAGCGAGGGGGTTCCTAAACACACGCCCGGTTCTTCTCCACGTTACTAGCTGCCCAAAGCTTCTGCGGGAAAACATGAAACCGATGCGGAAGAAGGCCAACTGCTTTCAGTTAAAAAACAAAAACCAACGTCCTCCGTTTTTGTTTTCTTTTTCCCGACGGTTTTGCTAAGCATCAGGCAGACTTCTAGGGGACTGGAGTATCTATTAAGGTATGAAGGTCCCAATATTTTGATCCAACGGGTCCCGCCTGTAAGTGTGTGGGCCGGCCGCTTTTTTGGTTTTCAATAGGTCTTGCCTGCTGATGCTTTGTTTTCCTTTCCTTTTTGTGTCTTTAAAGTTTTGATAGTTTATTCTTGTCTTTTGATATTATTTCATTTTCACACTCTAATTCATGAATATTTATTAAAGTCATGAATGTTTAGAAAGATTATGGATACTTTTTATATTAATATCTTTTTGAAGAATTCATGGATATTTTGAAAGTCTATGAACATTTTAAAATTTACTATTTTAAAAAAAACTCATGAACATTGCTCTAAATCCACGAATGTTTTTTAAATTCATGAATATTTTCTTTAAAAATTGTGTATTTAAATGTACCATATTAAAAAAATCCAATTCATGTAAAAACACATGAACTTCTTCATAAAAAATGATATCATTTCTGAGCTAGCAGTGGAGCAAGAGGGGGAAAAAAGCTAAGTGACGAACAGAGCATGAGCCAAGCTAAAAGAGCAAGGGCTTCATGGGTCGCCATGTGAGCACCATAAAGAAGGATTAGATGCTTTTAACATGTAATAAGAGCTTCAACGGGGATCACACAAATACCACCGGCTGACACCGAGGCTGAAACGTGCATTGACTCCAAAATAACACCCACTCTTCTCTCAGAACAAATATTGTCTACAATGGTAACCCAACATGATAAACTAATGAAAAAGCACTGTCATAAATTAAAACCCAAGTCAACATAGATAAAAATCAAAAGAAAACAATCGCCCACACGAGTGAAGAACGGTGCGACAAAGCAGACATTAGCCTCTAGTTTGACTCTACGCCAAGAGGCATAGATCTGACATTGAGATGCATGCATTTTTAGACCTTCAAAATAAACATTACACCTTTTTGCACTATATAAACAAAATATCATATCACAGTGAACATTCTCTGAAATGTGATAAACAAATTTATAAAATCGTTGGGACTTGTGGAGGATCTAAGTGAACAGTGATTTCACCCCCAAAAAATGGGTACATCCGTACATGTCACACACCACATTTTCTTTGACGGATGTATGACTATTCGACAAACATGCAAATGTTTACAAACAAGTCATAAAAACAGGGGGCGCTAACCCACTCCTTACCTCCCCTTTTATCATTTTTTTTACTCTATTCTTGTCCAATCTACGTTTTGGTGAGGCCAAGTCAGGTTCGATTATCTACCGAACAACAAATATATACTGACAATTACAAATGCAAGGCGTGTCTAGGCCCCCTTCTTCATTCTCCGTGACTTTCTTGTTTTGCTTCTCCGCACTTTTCTTTCGCAACCAACCTTGCCGCTAACGATAACCTCACTGTGTATTAAACATACACAATCATTATAAATACATGGCACGCCTATCTACCTCCTTGCCTCAGTGTCCATTTTTTCTCTCCTTGTTTTCCTTCCCAACCCAGACCTTCCTTTTATCGACGACTCCACCCATCTCGATTCATCATCCAATCCACCACCATTGCTCTGATACTAGCCACCATCTACCATCGTCATATGGTCATCTGTCGAACCTATACACATGTCAATTATACAGACATGGTGCGTGTCGCACCTCCATTTCCCACCGCTTTTGTTCCCCTCACACCTGCCTCACCGCCGATGCCGACTCGTGTCCGATTACCTGTCACGCACGCAAAACACACATAAATAACCATAAATAAAGGGCTCCCCTTCCTCTTCCGCTCCTTTTTGCTCCTGCTATCTCCGCACTCTTTCTCTCCAACCTAGCTTGTCGCGGAGGTATCCTTTTACCGGTGACTTCTCCTCTTCTGTTTCATTGTTAGATCTGCAGTCGTCGCTACCCCGTGGCCTGTCATCCACCACCACCGCAAGCAACGAGAAATTGGGGCGGGACAACAATTATCATCCTGTCGCCGATGAGGTTTCGAGGGTGTTTCATTCAGCGGTAAGCTTCCTTTCCCTACTTCGCTCCTCCATTTTATTCATGCTCATGCTTATGCTTTGCCCTTTTGCCTTCTCCCCCTCCCGCAACCCCGCTCGACTCCCAATTGAACGGCGGGGGCGGGGCGCTATTCACTTCTTAGGAAGAGGGATCAAACATTTTCATTGTTTTTTCTTTAACTTTTTTTGTACGATCAATTTAGGGCATCGTGTTTTCTTCATCAAGGGGGTCTACACCACTTTATTCCACCCCTTTATTGCTACTCCTGCTTCTGCTTTGCTCTTTTGCGGTCTCCTCCTCCAGCACCGCTCCCTCCTCTTCATCCAACTCCAGGTTGATTGCCGGGAGATCATTCACCTTTTTAGGAAAAAATAGTTAATTTTCGTCCATTATATACCCCCCTTCTTCCCTTTCCTGTTTCTTTTGGTATGATCTATCTTGGAGCATAGTTTCTATCCAAGAAGGGGGTTTACACCAAGAAGCAAAATAAGAAAACCATCTGGCCTAAGAAGGTTTGTGTATCCGCTGCATGGTGGTCAAGTCAGATCTTGCCTTCTCGTACTGCGTGTCTGCCTGTCCTTCTGGCCTAGGAAGTTTTTGTCTCACTCCATCCATCCTTTCCCCTGCGGCGCCGCCCTGTCCTTTCAGATAGACATCACCTTCTCCTCTGCCACAAGAAGCTCTCAACGGCTGCAGAGTCTCACAGGTGCCTCGATATTCCCAAAGATGGACACGTAGGTGCCATATATGGGTGGCGTACACTTAATCTGTTGATTAGTGGAGTGGAGTAGGAGAATATTGATGAGTACATGTGTGAATGTTTACATAGTACTCCACTAACATCCAGCACTATTCCCTTGCTTGATTGGGGAAAATTAATGTAAGAGGCAGACAGTAGATGGGACAAAAGAAAGAAAGAAAATAGATCCCTTGCAAGCTAGAGGCCCCTAAAAGAAAGAAAGCTAGAGGTCCTTAAAAGAAAGAACGAAAATGGGTCCTTTGCAAGCTAGCTCGACAGTTTCAATTAGTATTATTTTTTGCTTGTAAAGGAGTTAATTGTGTGTGAACTTGGAGCTACTCACTTCGAAACCACTTAATGTTCTTCAGAAGTTTGTTCATTAATTCTTGGCCCCGACGTGCGTACGTGCGTGCGTATGGATGAACCATGATGAACAACGCCCCAAAGAAAGATTCTTCCCTGGAAAGAGAATACTACCAACCACACAGTCTGAAAGCCAAAGGCAATTCAGTAGAGGAAAGGGACACGAGAACATCTGGTTAATCTATTATAGGCACTGAAATATCTTCGATTTTCATCATCGTCGATGGATCATCGCCACAAGCTGGAGCGGAGTCCGGATGATCCATCTGTGTTTCCAAGTCCCAACACGCCCGCCCGCAGACCCGAACAACGCTAGCTAGCACTCAACCCACTCATGATCCTTCGATCATCACATACCTGACAATCTAGACTCTAATTAACAAAGCAACGAGACTGGGCCGGAGATGCATGCGTCCATGGGGATGGCGTCTATCCGGCCGGCGAGGGGGCGCGAGATCCGCGTCGACGGGCGGATCTCAGGCCCTGAAGCAGGCGGCGAGGTGGAAGTGGAGGTGGCCCGAGGAGGAGCCGTGGTGGTGGTGGCCGCCGGAGACGAGGCGGCCGGAGCCGGAGCCGCCGTGCCGCTGGCCGTCGATGACGGCCTGCACGCGGCGGAAGTTGTCGACGCCGCAGGGGATGGTGATGGCGCCCTGCTGCTGGAAGCCGTACTCCTCCTCGGCCTCCTTGAGGAGGCCCACGAAGAGCGGGTGCTTGAGGTAGCCCACCGGCACCACGAACCGCTCCTCCTCCTCCGCGCGGCCGCCCGGCCCCACCACGCGCACCGCCATGCACCCCTTGGGCGGCATCGACGAGCCGCCGCTCGAGCCCCCCGCCGCCGACGAGTGCTGCTTCCTCAGCAGGCTCACGCCCATATATCTTGATCTTCACAACACCCTACCCTGTACCAAGAAAGAAACGCTCTCTCGCTCGCTAGACCACGACGGCGACCGGCGTCCGACGGCGGGCGTCAGAGCGCGGGGCGGCGGCACGCTGGACGCTGCTGCATGGCGGCCGTCGACTGGGTAGCTAGGGTTGGTGGCGGTGGTGGTGCTTGGCCCGTCGGGGTTCCCGGTCTCGGCTACGGCGCCTGTGCCTGCCTGCCTGCCTCGATCTGCCCGTGCGTGCCCTGCGCTGGGTGCGTCTGGTCCGGGAGGGGGCGGGGGCGCGTGCGTATAAGAGGCGGGGGGCGCGGGCTGCTGCGGTTTGTTGCCATCCGCCGCTCCCTTTTCCATACCGTATTCCGTTTATCTTTCCACAAGGTATATCGATAACCTTTTTTTTCGGGGAATATCGAAAATCTTTGCCCATAAATGTGGCACAGTACTGCAGTATCCGCGCGAAAATGATCTCGTGATTAATCCCCACGTTTATTGTTCAACGATAATAATATATTTGCATTTCCTGTTTTACGCCGATCCCGTATATTTAGGGCTTATTTAGTTGAGATTCGAAATCTTATCTCGCCGTGTTGGGCGCATTTATTTCTCAAGATAAGGTAATTCTACACGTGACTACTATTGTTTTCGTTTTGCTAGCTCATGCTGGGACTGGCGTACACATTTCTGCGGAAAAAAGATTAGCGTATTCAGAAAGATTAGCGTTTTGAATACGCTTTGAATACGGGGAGAGGGGCATCTGATCCCCCCAGGGTATAGCTAGCCGGGCTACTGTGTGTGTAGCAGCTGGAGGAATGCCGTGTGTTGCATCGACAGTCTTTTTTTGTGTGTGCGAGAGGGATCTCTAGTGCCGTGTGTCGCATACTCTCTTGACACTTCGGTTGGTGATGCTACTGCTAGGGTAGAGGCTAGAGCTTGGTGGGCACTAGACACGGGCGCAGGTCGGTCCAGCCCGGTGAACAACTGTATACACCAGCACCTAGTGCGACAAAACATTACTATTTCTTCCTTCCGTTCTAAATTATACCCCCTTCGTCTGGAATTACTTATCCACAAATGCATAAAAACATAAATATCTAGAATTAAAATATATCTAGACATATTCATTTCCATTTCTGTGACAAGTATTTCCGAACGGAGAGAATACTCTGTCCGTTCCAAATTATATGTAGTTCTGCTCATTTTAGTGTGTGTAGAATGTATATAGACATATTTTATTGGTTTATTTATTCACTCATTTCAGTTGGATATGTAATTTATATTAAAATATCTAGAACGTCTTATAATTCGAAACAAATATGATATTTAAAATCTAGGTTAGTTGTAAGTCAAACTTCTTTATGTTTTTACGTTTGAGCAAGTTTACTGACAAAAGAAACCAACATTTACAACGCCGAATTAGCTTCATTATGGCATCTCCAACGCCGTTCTCTAAAACAGACACACCATTCATTCGCGGACTGGTTCGGATTGGTCTGTGAACTCGGATTCGAGAGCCGGCCATCCAACAATGTCCCATAAATGTCCGCTCCTGATGTTTTTCTTATCCGCAAAATTCAAAATAATAATAGAAAATAACACAATTCATCCATAAATAGCTTGCAAATATTCCTAGTATAACAATAGTTCAACACGTGTAAATATTACATTCGAGATAGACGGATGTTCAACAAGTTTTTTGAATCCATCGATTCCAAATTCAACGGTACGCAAGTCATAATCGTCAGATATCCTCACACGCACGGTCGCCCTTAAGCTTCACCCAATAATGTTGAATGTGAATGGTCTACTCTCGGTCCTGTAGTACAACACGATAATGTTAGACATTGAGTGAATCAATGAACTGATCAACATGTAGAGCAACAAGAAGCAAACACTACAATCTTCATGGTTGTCGAGCCTGATGGCCACTTTGTCTCCACTCGTGCAACCACGCCACAATACTTCATGAAGGCGTTAGAGATGGTGTACCACCTGTTGGCTAGTGACTTCACATTACGATCATGGATCACGTGCCTGTCGTAGGGCGCGAAGTGCTTCTCCTCAAGAAATGAAGCACGCTTGTTTTGTCAAAACAGCGAGCCCCATTGCCTCATGCCTACAAAGTCTGCATATATAAATTTCCACGCATCGCACAACAACATAGACCCGCATATATGACCTTCAACGCATCGCACAACAACACATACTCCATCACCGAGTACCTCGCAATCGTGCTTACTCTAGAAAACAACAAGAAGTTCAACAAAAAAGCTTTATGCCATTTGACCAAATACTTGCTGGGTGTGGTGTCCGCCATGGACGACATCGACACGGGGGAGGGGGGGTTGCTAGATACGGACGGATCATGAGTGGATGACATCGTAGTCCAAGGTGGGCAGTCGCGTAGGTGGCATCTGCGGATGTCTGGGCGACAGTCGGAGAGGTACATCTATGGCGCCCGAGGAGGGGGATGCACATCATATCTTTAGCTCCTTGTTGGTTCGACACTCTATACTTATCACTTCCATCACTAGAAAGTGCTGCGACAATTTCTTAAACACTTGGGGATTATTGACGGGGTCCTGTACCGGGGGTGGCTACCACCAAGGAGCCCGACCCCTTCAACTACAAGGTGGCCCAACAGACCCATGATGTGATGCTAACCCTAGGAGGCCATAAGACCTTCTTGACACCCATGACTAGAGGGCGGCGGCGCCCTAGATCGCATCTGGCATGTAAAACCTAGACTTCTCCTGTCTATATCAAGGGTTCCTCTCCATCATCTATCCTCAGATAGGATAACTCCCGGTAGTGCCATCATACACCATTGTAACCCCTCGCACGAGGTATACCTCCATTGTGAATAACCAAAACCAATAGGACGTAGCGTATTACTCTCCGGAGGCCCGAACCTAAATAAACCCCTCGCGTGACCTTCGATCCATGACTTCCAGCTGCGCTTGGACCCGTACCGAGGGATCTGATGGAAATATGCTCCATCAGTTGGCACGACAGGCATGGGTAGCGCTGGCTGGAGACCGATCATGGATCGGATCTTTCCCTGCTTCCGGCAACCTATCGCCGGGGAAGAGCTTAATCTTTGGCTCCTTCACGTTCGTCGTAGACAAGGCGGTCCGGGTCGGCATCAACCTACCATCCGACCTCACAGCCATGGGACCTCCCGAAGGATCTCCTCACGATCTTGTCTGGACTAAGGGACGCACCCCACCACCAACCCAGAGGTGCCCTACGGGCAGCCTCCACGCCATCCACGGAGTGGAGGCCAATCCAGCAATTCAGCTAGTCATGAGTTCTGCGAGGCCTGCCACCTTAGCAAAGTGCCAGGAGACTGTCTCGTCACCGACCTAGAAACACACGAAGACGCCGATGCGGCGAGTACATCTTTAACCTCGAGCGACCAAAGAACACACGCCGATCACCCTTACCAACGAGGACGAGAACACGAGCCTCCAACCCTTCCACGAGGTCATGTACTCCGACCTCTGGGGGGGAGGAAGGGTCATCTGCGGGCTCAGGGACTAATGCCTCTTTATATCAAGGGACGTCCCTATCCGAGGCCGCGTAAGCGATATTCCACCACCTATACTTGAAAATTTTTATAACCAAGGGGGAGATGACGATGGTGATGATCACGAGCATGAGGACGAGCAGGACCCATATACTCAGTGGCACCTGGCAACTTATTCCAATGGATCACCTCTTTTCTGTATACAGGGCACTACTGATGTTACTAAGGAAGCAGGTGTTGTCTCGCATGGTCGCACTCTCCGGACCTATTCCAACATCCGTTGCAGGGTATTCGGGATGGATACTAGTGTGCTAGCGCCAACACCTTCTCCCTGGTTCAGTATTGATAGTCTTAGAGAAAACTCGCTCTTCCTTGGACAAAACTATCCAATGATGGTGAAAAGCGATCCAGCTTCTGTTGACACAATGTTACTACTATTTATGAGAAGCAACTGTATCTATATCTCGGACATTGCAATGCTTCCATCATAATATGGGTATTGAAATAGGCCGCTTCAGCCTGGATGATCAGTCCTGCGTTGGTCTCGAGATTGACACTAGCTGGCCCTTCCCAGAGAATCACTTCTGGTTCAAAGCAAGAATTTCCAACGCCGACGAGTGGTTGAGCTGAAGTTCATTTCATTGCTTTCTTATTTGTTGTGTGAGAAAAACTTTACTTTACTAGAATTTTTTGTTGGAAATGATCTATAATCCAACATGTATCCTCGTTGTCGTTGTGGGTTGATGACTTGTTATGTGTAATCAATGGTACATTTGCATATGCGTCCATCAACTCACACCTGCTAGTGGTATCCATATGAACAGTGCTAGTGATTTTAGTTGCAAAAATTAGATAGTGCTAGTGATTTTTAGCTACATATTTTGACAAATCACAGTGTTACAAGGTTGACAAATGGCAATGTTACTAGATAAACAAATGTCAATCTTTCCGGTTTGACAAATGGCAACATACCCAATATGACAGATGCAAATCTTACCCATTTGTTTCTACGTGGTTGCACACGGGTCATCCAAAACAATCGTTTGCGTTGAAGGGATGCACAAATCCTGCACTGCGAATTTTCCATTGACTTAAGGGGGAATACCATATCTCTCACTTTGCATATGGATGTTCTATCTAAAACGTTTGCGATCAGGAGCTGCACAAATCCTGCTCGGCACAGTTTCCCTTGGCTTCCTGGGGAAGCTGTCGGTTTGCATACGGGTGTTCTAACTAAAACATTTGCGATGAGTGTTTTATATTTAAAAACCATTGACGTTATTTCAAAAGAAAATTGTTTGATAAGTCTATACATTAAGAAATAAAAACGCAAGTTCGTTCAAACCATATCTTTCATTCAGTCACACTGCGAATTTATATTCGTATGATCGAGAATTCGAGATACAGTATTAAATCCCCAAAAAAAACTATTTCTGGCGGTGGTGGAGGTGGCGTGCCGCGCCGT